ACAGAATGGCAGGATCAGCGGGGAGCAGTCAGGACGTCCCAGTACATCAATTCATCCCAATGAACTTTAAATGCAAGAGTACAAAAAGAGGGATGCCAAAAGATTGAAATATGTTTTAAATGTTTATTTTTATAAATTAGACCTTTTAAACCCCCAATGCAATACAAAATAATTGATATAAGTTAATTACAAGATTTATTTTAAACATCATAAATACAAATTAAAGGTACACTGGGAGGGTGGTCCTGTAAAGGGGGCCCTAGTTCAAAGAGAAGGTAAATGCTTTTAAAAATCCTATTAGTGCATATCAAAAGTCTAAACTAGAGCCATTCAACGACTGAAAACCAGGCTAACTCCTTCCTTGTCTCCTGCCCCACACACCTCACTCCCACCACTACCATGTCCTCAGGGATTATTTTGCCTTGTGATGGCTAAAGGAAGCTAAAGAAAAGTAGCTCCCACCCTCTTGGGAATTTTTGAAGTCTTGGTCATTTTTCCAAAGTATAAGAAAATATTTCCTTCAGCATATTGAACAGCGGAGTCAGACTACCGGAGTCCGAGTTGTCTCTGAAGGCTTAGAGTACAGTTAGGTCCCCTGTGGCCCGGTTTCCTCCTGACATTGGTACTAAAGTGTAAACAGGAAATTTATAGAAATTCGTAAAGTACTTGTGAGATGCACGGGGTTAACTTGTGTAAGAGGCCTGCAGCAGTGCCTGGAACAACACACTCAACAAATGTGTCTGGCTACTAAGTGTCCTGCAGGTGGGACTAGAGAGGTCGCCCTCCCTGTGCTGGTGGAGGCCACCGCCCTGTGGGAGAGTGTGTGGGTGTCTTGGTCTGTCTGCAGGATGCTGCCTTGTGCCTCCTCTCCCCGCACAGGCGGCCCCAGAACAGGTCCCGGTTGGAGAAGCCCAAACAATGTGGAGTGTAGGGGTTGGGTGACTGCCAGGTGCCCTACATTTCCCTGTTACCCAGGTCTGAGAAGAGCCAAGAAGTTTTCTTTCCTTTGCCTTCAAGACTTCCTCTTGGCATTTGGGTACACAGGTGGATGCAAGAAGTTGAGCCAAAAGGACTATCAACACAGCCAGCTCGATTGTAGGGCCAAGTGGTGGGGAGCAAGGGAGCAGCTGTGTGATCATAACCCTAATCTCATGCCTGGGCATTAAAAACACCTTTCTGGGTATAAGAATTGCCAAAATGGGTGCCTTTGCTCTTCTCTGCTTCTCTGGCAGGTAGTGAGAGTATATTGGAGTGTGCCCTTGGGGAGGCAGACAGAGGAACAGCAGGATCAGGGGTGTGACATTGGAAGAAAGCCTTTGGAGGGGACCAAAGGATCCAAGGACCCCTACTGGTCCTCAGAGTTCCTCCCTAAGGGAAAGAGTTCCAGGCAGGCCAGTGTCTGCAACCCCCCC